AGCTTTATGGGTTTGTAAGACCACAGAGAAACGAGTGCAGTGCTTTAGCTGTTCATAAGCTAGTATGGTACATATTCAGTATGTGTATTGTTGCAAATTAAGGAGTAGGAATTTGATGCTAATCATTATTGGATCATTGGTGAAACATACTTTTAAAGTTGACCTTCCGACCTTAAATACCCTATGTATGATTTATGATATTTTGGTTTTTTGTGTTTGTGTGGTGCTGGTGCTTGAACTAGTGCTTCACTTAGATTGATTACACACCAGCACTGAGTTGTATCCCTAGCCTTTTAACCACTTTTAAGTGTGCAATTCCATAGTATTAAGTATGTCCATTATATTTATTTTGTAATTAATTATCTCACTATTCAGCTCTTAGAATTTTGGGATTTTTTTGGTTTTGTTTTTGCTTTAAGAGGGGGCCTGCCCATTAGCTCAGTTGTTTAAGTGCCTGCTTAACAAAGCAGTCAGGCTCAGGATACTGTAGTTCAATCCCCAGATCCTCATGCCTTGCTAGACTTGCCCTTAAGGCATCCTGAGCCAGTCCCCCCCCCCCAAAAAAAAAAATCCTTTTGCTTTTTGAAGTAGGCTCTCACTTTATAGTCTAGGCTGGCCTTGACCTTATGATCCTCCTGCTTCAGTCTGGAGTCTGGGATTACGGGTGTGTGCCGCCACATCTGGTTTAGAAAGGTTTCTTTCTCTTTTTCTCTTTCTCGTTCTCATTCTCTCGTTCGTTCTCTCTCTCTCTCTCTCTCTCTCTCTCTCTCTCTCTCTCTCTCTCTCTCTCTTTCTCTTTCTCTTTCTCTTTCTCATCTCTCTCTCTCCTCCCCCCACCCCCTTGTGCTACTAGGGATTGATTGCAGGACCTTCACATTGAGCTGTCCCTCCAGCTTTAAAACCAAACCCAAACAAAACTCTTTAAAATACTAGTTTCACTAAGTTGGCTAGGATAGACTTAAACTTGAAATCAGCACCTGCCTTAGCCACCCAGGGTGCTGGCATGTACCACCAAGTCTGGCTCCCAGCTTAGATTTTTTTTTTTTTTTTTCAGTGTTGTGAAATTTTCAGTTGAAGCTGTATTTGCTGACTCTTAAATCTTTTGTTTTCTTGCCTCTGGGCACAACCATTCTTTTTCCTTTCTTTCTACTTTTGATATTGAGCAGTGAACCCAGTCTTCATGCCTGTTAAGTGCATGGACATTTAAGACTGAATATGTATCACATTTATTTATTCATTTGCTTATAAATATTGTGAGTTTCTTCTGCCTTTTCGCTATTGTGAATCATCCTGTTAGCATGATGTACAAAATTTCTTTGTGTTTTTTCAACTTTTCGTGTTATGTATCCAGAAGCTAAGCTAGAAGTACTAAGTCATAATGTATATTAGTCCATTTTGTGTTACTGTAATGAAATCCTCAAGACTGGGTAAATTTATAACTGTGAAAGGTATGGTTCTATTGCCAGGGAGAGACAGTATCATGAGAAAAGAAAAGGTTTTATTAGCAACAAGTTGACCTGTTAGAATATGGAAGACAGCCATACATGGTGATATATGCCTATAGTCCCAGCAGTGTAGGAGGTGGAGGTAAAAAGTGTTGTAAGTTTGAGCCCATCCTGAGCAACTTAATGAGACCCTGTCTGAAAATAAAAGCCCCATATGAATGCTCCAGGTTCAACCCCTAGTACTACCACCAAAAGATGTGGAAATTGGAAAGGTTGACACCTGTAGCTGTCTTGCTACCTGCTCAAAGTTTGAACCATCTTTTGTGAGACTGTTAAATGTCAGATTGCAGTCTCAAATAGGTAGGCACCAGGGTACTTCATTAGTCTTTGAAAATGGACAGTTCTGAAACATAGGTTGTGAATGTCGTATTTCAGTCTGGAGATCACTGAGCATCTTGGACCTGTGAAACTAACAAAACATGATTGTTCAGAGGCTTGTTTGAAGGTCAGTGCGTCTGGTTTCCATTATAGCCAGTCAGTATTTTCATGATAGATACCCTGTTGTTGTGACCTTTCCTGGAAATGGAGACTTTGCCAGGCAAGAGTTAGTGTATTTCAGTTAATTGTACATTTTAGTCATGAAAATGTGGAGCAAGGAGCTGGGAACAAAGTTACGCTAGTAAATTTTTAAGAAAATCATACAAGGTCATGCTCCCGAATATCTAAACTCGCTGAACCTTGCCTTTAAAGATATCACCACCTTCAACCCTGCTTCATTGGATGCCCAAACTTTCAAAATATGAACCTTTGGGGATGCATGAAATTACATGCAACCCATACTGTGTGTTAATCTTAGAATCTAGGAAACTACCACCATATATGGTTTTTCATGGCATTTGTATGATTTTATCTTCTTTCAGAGTAGTGCACAAGGGTTCCAGTTTCTTTACATTGAGTTTTTAAAGAACTTTATTTATAGCTATTCTTTTTTAAAAATATTTTAATGAAAGCATCTTCTCACCAACTTCACTTTTTTTTTTTTTTTTTTTTTTACTATGTAGTTTAGCCTGGCCTCAAACTCACAGCAATCCTCCTGGGAGTACCACTATGTAGTGTAGGCTGGGATCATAGGACTGCACCACCATGTGCAGCTTCCCAAGAACTTTAAATGTAATTTGCATTTTTAAAATATGAAGCTGTTGTGGCATCAGGACTTGTCTCCTGCTCCACAGGGTTTTTTTCAGGCAAGGTCTTACTTTGTTATTAGGCTAGTCTTGAACTACGTAGCCTGGGTCTGTCCTTGAACTTGCAAGGATTCTTCTGCCTTAGCCCCCTGAGTGCTGGGCTTACAGGTATCCACAGGTATCCTTCAGATGCCCCTGCACTGCTAACACCCCAGTACTTTTGAGGCATGTGTTACCCATGTTCTCTTCTGTAGGAAGTCCTTGCTGCAGCTTCAGGGGCTCGATTCTTATGAGATGCTTAACCACTTTCAGCTTTGCATTTACTGAAGGGATGTTCTTATGAATTTGAGGAGTGTGTGCTTTTTCTAATCCAAGCATCTTGATTACATCTTTTCCCCAATATGGTCGTCTTATTGTACTTTTTATTCTGGTAACAACATGTGGTTTATGAGGGTGCTGTGGATCCCCACCATACTTTTCATGATCTTCGGGTGAAGGCTGAAAAACTTCATCTGGAATTCTTGATTTGGTAACTTCGTGAGGAATCCAGTCTGTACCCATGACAGATTCCACACGTTTTGTCACAGTCTGTAGCCTGCCTGGGGGCTTGTGAACTACTGAATGCAAAATCCCTGCCATGGTGTTGTAATTATTTGTCTTCAGAGGTTGTAGGAAGCAAACAGATGTACTGGTGAAATGCTCTGGAAATGGACAGGTTCTCCCCTTCTTTGGTGCGGTGCCCACTAAAGTCCAGCCTGAACTTACGCACAAAGCAGAAGCCACATTTATAGCCATTCTAATGGGTGTGAGATGGTATCTTGTTTGGTTTTGATTTGTGTTACTCTAATGATTAATGATGTTGCACATGTTTTCATGTTTTTCATTAGCTACTTCTGTACTATCCATTATAATTTTTATATAGTTTTGATTTCATGACTTTTGTATGTTAATCATACATATTAAAATTGAGAATTGTAATGTTTATTAGAAGTAAAAGTGATGATTATACCAGGAGTTATGATGAGGTTTTTTCAGAGCCCAACCAAAACTGCACTGGAAGGGTGGGGAAGAACTTTTGGAGTTCTGTAGGGGAAGTTTATAAAATTAGAATTCAGTATACTCAGGACTTAGTTATGGACTGTGTTATGGCAGCTATAATGTCACAATGAACAACTAGACATTGTTAGGCTTTTGAAATAGTTTTATTTGTTGAATCATGTTTTGTTTTTTTTCCTAATGGGGATTGAGCTCAGGACCTTGTGCTTGCCAGGCATGTGCTTATGGCTCTGAGCTGTTTCCCCAGACCCTATTTGTTTAATCAGTCCCTTAAAGTAGTCTTGTTTTTAAAAATGCTACAGTTTTTTGTTGAAGTACTAGTTAAAAACAAGAGTCAGATTAACTGAGAAATTAATATTTGGTAAAGTGGCTAGGAGACAAGTAAATAGACTTGGTATTAACTGTGGGTCATTAGGATGTAGTTTATGATACCATACAGTAATGACCTGCTCCTAATTTGTTGGGAAAGAGTGGATTTTTAAATTAGTGGCAGAATGATTATTAATTTTCAATTTGGAAGTAAGCTTCAAGTTTATAATAAAATTCTAGGTTGGTAAAGATTTTAAATGAAAATTTATAAAAATACAATTGCATAGTGTTGAATTTTTGACTTAGGCTATTGGGATTGGAAGCCAAAAGGAGAATAAAATTGATTTTATAAAAGGGAGAACTTCTTTGTGACTGTTTTTTAAATGTTATTAAAAAACATATTCAGAAAAATAGTTCAGTCAGCTTTAACATTTGTTGTCAAAATATTTTAAATGCTTACTGAAGTTTACTTCTGATTTTCTGCTCTGTATGAGTAGATGGGAAAATGTATACAATTTCATAATTGTAACATTTGGCTTGGGGAGGTTGGGGGTTGGTACTGGGTGTTCAGCCCAGGGCTTTCTTAACACGGAGCTAGATTTCCAGCGATCTGTCTTAATCTACTTAATTTTGAGACAAGGTGTTGCTTAGTTACCTCAAACTTGTGATACTCCTGCCTCAGTCTTCCATAGTATGGGGATTATAGTCATGTACCATTGTGCCAGTGTTCTTTCTTTTAGTTTAAGGAAATCTATTAAAAAATTGCCTCACTTCCAAAAATGTCCTTTTTCTAATGAATATGTTTTCATATAAACAACATACTGTAATATGTTTCTTTAAGAATTATGGCTTTCTGGAATATTTTCTCTTAATAGATAGTTACCATCACTAAAAAGTTATCTACTAAAATGGATACATATAGGATTTTGGCACTAGAAATTTGTGCATGTTACTGCTTTTTATAAATATTGATTACTCTAATATGAAATTTTTTCTTTTTGTTTAGTCAGGTCAATTCAGTGAAGATATGATACCCACAGTGGGCTTCAATATGAGGAAAGTAACGAAAGGTAACGTCACAATAAAGGTACGTCATCATCTTGTACTCAGTTTTATTACCATATACAGCTAAAAATCTGTTTGTCTGGTTTTAAGTATTATTTTAAGTTCCTAAATAATGAATAGGTATGTAATAAAAGGCTGTAAGTCAATTATTTTTGTTTCTCTAATAGATCAAAATGTGCGAGCATTGAAATGTTAAATCAAAAACAGATTAGCAGAAGGTATCCCCAGGAAATAAGGATTTCATTTTAGCCAGGTGTTGTAGTTTGCACCTGTAATCCCTGCATTCTGGGATACTGAAGGAGAAGGATCACAAGTTTGAGTCCTGCCTGAGTAAGTTAGTGACATTGAAATATTGTCTTTAGAAAAGAAAGATGTGCTGGGTACATTTTGGTACATAAGCCATTGGTTCAATCTGTGGTAATGCAAATGAAAAAATAAAATAGATTCCATATTTAGTGTTTGGGTTGTAATATCACATTGTTTCACAAAAAACTTTATGTTGAAAGGTAATTTTTTTTATAATATTGTAGTTTATTTGTGGTAGCAAATATTATAACCCAGTTTCCTCTTTCTTTACTGCTAAGCTTTAAATGGAAACTATAAAAATAGGAAAAAGCCAGTACTTTAACGTACTATAGTTTTCCTTTTATAATGAATTTAATAAATTTAAATGCTGGGCTTTTGGACTGTTTATAAGGAGAAATATTTTGCCTTTTGGGGGTGGGGGAACAGTGCCTTCACACTCATTTATATCCCCAGTCTATTTGATTTTTTATTTTTTGAGGACAAGGTCTTGCTAAGTGTGAAACTGCTCTGGTGTACCTTTTGTCTTTTTGAGACAGGGTCTGTCTATGTAGTTCAGGCTGGCCTTGAGCTTACTTTGTAGCTCAGGCTGACCTTGAACTCACAAATGATCATCCTGCCTCAACCTCCTGAGTGCTGGGATTACAGGCGTGCATTACCATTCTCAGCTCCTGGTATACTTTACACATGTTCGCCTCGACTTCCCAGAGTGCTGGAATTATGGGTATGTCTCATGCCTAATTTTGTTTATTGTGGTGGTATTTGTTATTTTAGCTCTGTAGTCAATGTGGCTTCTGTAGAACCATGTTGCCTGGTTCATGGGTTTCACAAAATCTGCTCACTAAACTCTGGCTTTTTTTTTTAGTACTGGGTCTACAGGGTCTCACTACATAGATTAGACTCATAGTGATCCTCCTGTTTTCAGCCTCCTAAGTCCTGGAGTTACAGGCACATGCCGCCATGCCCAGTCCAGTCGCTCTCTCACCATACCGCAAGGGCAGGGCTGGCACAGCACACCCCGGTTGCTGCATCTGCCTAAGCAGGCACTTTAATCCGCTGAGCTATCTGCCCGGCCCACTGTGGCTTTTCTGATAAAACATCTAATTTAGTTCTGTATGATACATTTTACTTACATCTATGACTAAATTGGAAACCTTGGAAATAAATATCATGACTTAACAGGTAGCCTCATATCCAGCATGGTACCCAACAAAATAGAGATGATAATAAAATTATTTTGAAAAACACCTATCTAGGATTGGTGGCTTTCTTATTTATGTCATAATTTTAAAATATTGGATGGTAATGTAATAAATCAGAAAATTAAATTTAAAGAGTCTCTAAACTATTATTTTCCTTTTTGGCATTCAAATCTGGATGATGCTTGGTTCTATAGATTTTTAAATTAAAGAACTAAATGTGGTGGGGCATGCCTGTATTCCCAACACTAGATGCTGAGGCAGGAGGATCATGGTGAGTTTGAAGTCAACCTGGGCTACATTGTGAGTTCAAGACCAGCCTAAACTACACAGGGAAAACCTGTCTTAGAAAACGAAAACAGATTTATCTTAAAATGTGTACTTTCAGCATTAGAAGCATAGTTGTTAACAAGCAGAGAAAGTACTGCGCGTAAACTAAATCTCTGCCAAAGGTGAATTTTAAATGTAGTATAAGCATATTAAAGATAGACCTAAAATTTAGTAGTGTTTCAAGAATTCCCAGATTGAGTTTGTTTGCGCTGAAGTGACTTTTTCTAAATTAGTACATGTAGTGATACACAGTGAATACATGTATTGTGGGAAAGTCAGAAACCACACGTCACACTTTAATCCTTTTTACTTCCGTGAGCTCAAGATTTTAGAAGCACTTTGGCTATAATGTTGTGAAGTTGAATATATCCTTTTGACATTTTCCTTTGGTATTTCCTCCAGTAAATGACCTGAAATCTTTTTAAGAATTGTCTTTCTTGATTTAAAGATCTGGGACATAGGAGGACAGCCCCGATTCCGGAGCATGTGGGAACGGTATTGCAGAGGAGTCAATGCTATTGTGTAAGCTTCTTCTTGTATGTTTTTTAAATCAGGCCTTCAAGCAGGAAATCTTTGGGGCTGGGGAGATAGCTCAGTGGAATAAGCACTTGGCCTGGCAAGCGCAAGGACCTGAGTTCAATCCCCGGTTCCGGGAAAAAAAAAAATAAAAGAAGGAAATCTTTAATACTTCTAAAGGCTTAATCTTTATCATAGCCAATAAATATATTTCTTTGCTAATTTCTTTGTGTAATTAACATTAAATTTAAAAAAATTAATCATAGGATGGGAGCTTTATGACTTGTTTATAGCTAAGGGCTACAGGATATGTTTTACTAGCATGTATTAGTCTCTGGACAATCTAGTTGAAACTATAGATAATGAAATTTTTCTTTATTTAGGACTTTATTTTGATTACCAACTTGAATAATGTAAATATTAAGTAAAAACCTATAATCCTAGTTTTCATCAATGCATATGGAAAAGATATATTTTTTTTAAGTTACATGATAGATGCTGCAGATCGTGAAAAGATAGAAGCTTCTCGAAATGAACTACACAACCTTCTAGATAAACCACAGTTACAAGGAATTCCAGTAAGTAAGGAGTATTTGTTATTTTATGTTTGTCATTATACAATAACAGTTATGCCTTGGTGTCTGTGCAGATTGCTTACAAGGCTCCCCTTAGATACAAAAATCTGCCTATTTTTGATCCTTTAGGTAAGTTATGGTAATACTTGCATAATACCATTTGCATTATGATAATATGCACATCCTTTCTTGCACTTTAAATCATCTTAAAAATACCTCATACAATGTAAATGTTATACAAATAGTTGTTATTCTGTAATGTTTAGGGAATACTGATAAGAAACGAAGTCTGTCATGTTCAGTATAATTGAATGTTTTTGTAATAGATTCGATCCCTATTTGATTGACTCCGTGAATGTAGATAAATGTTTTCTAAAATCTAGGAGGCTTATGTTTATTGAATATCTGCCATATCTAGGGCATTGTGTTATTATGAATGTCTTAACCAGGTATGTACTAAATTACTATGTTACAGGAACCAACATCAGTTCTGGGGATATGGTTATAAACAGAAGTTAATAGGAACATATTGCATACCATCATGGAACTTACGCTTTAGTGGAAACAGATGATTTGAAAACACTTGAATAATGCAGCTCTGATAATGGCTATGGAGGTGCAAGGGGCTTTCAGAGGTGTAAAGTAGAGGAGAGATTTGCACTAGTTTGAAGGGGAAAAGGAAGACATTCTCTGAGCAAGCAATTGGTGACCTGAGATCTGAATGGTGTATAGGAATGTGTTTTTTGGGGGAAGTGAATCTAGGCAGAGGCCCCTTGGTGGTAAGAAGCAGGCACCCTAGTCTCTAGAGCACAAAACAGAGTAGGAAGGGTGAGATAGAGTGTGGTATACCAGCTGGGAGACAGTAGGAGGATGTGTGGAAAACCAATAAAACTTCTGTATTGTTTTGTTTTGCTATGCTATGCTGTGTAGTTCAGGCTGGCCTTGAGGTCAGCATAACCCAGGCAATCCTTCTGCCTTGACTTCCCAAGCGCAGAGAGTGTAGGCATGTGTCACCATACTTGGCTCCAATGAAGTGTTTTAAATGGTCAAATTTATGATTTGACTATATCACTCTGTTATTTAAGAGTGAATTAAAGTGGTCAGGAAGAGACTAGGGATTTAGTTTTAGGAGATTGTTTTAGTAATGCTGGCAGTGCTTTGCATTAGGGTGGTACCAAAGACAAGATGGGAAGAAAGAAATAGATTTTAGAGATATTTTGGAATGTACTACCTTAGACTGTTAATGGATCAGAAGAGAAAGGGTAAAGATAATTCCTAGTTGCAGGCTCTTGCAGTTTAATAGAAGATGGTGCTAATAATTGACCTACGGAATGCTGGATATAGGCCAGGCTTTAGCCTATGATGATCTTATAAAGGTCAAATACTTCGAGTATATTACCTCAGTGAAGCCTCACAACATATTTAGATTTGTGGTATTATCTCTCCTTTATATATAATAATTGTTAAACATTTAAGATCACATGAATATTTATTAGTAAGTTGCACAGCCACATTTTAAATCTGTATCTAAACAGTAAATGAAAAAGATACCCAGAATCTGTGCCTGCTTGTCTCACAATATCTTGATGTTGACTTGTATTTTGTTTTATGGGATTTTTTTCATACTACTTTGTAGCTCTTGTCTGTATTGAAGTCTTTTAGAAAGAATTCTACTTCAGTTGTAGAATCTCATGAGATTTTGACATACTCCTTTTGCTAATTACTATAACTGAAGAAGTCCGTGTTAATTTAAAATAATTGTGCTTGAAAATCATACACTTATGGGGCTGGCGAGATAGCTCAGTGGACTAAAGCGCCTGCTTAGGCAAGCACAGGGACCACAGTTCAATCCCTGGCACCACATGCTGTGCCATTCCCACCCCCAGGGCGGACTGAGCCAGCCAGAGTCTGGGCATAGTGGCTCACACCTGCAGTCCTAGCACTGGGGAGGCTGAAAGCACAAGGATCACAAGTCAGAGCTGTGTAATGAGACTCTGCAGCAACCACATACTTTAAAAAAAAAAGAACAGAAAAGAAAAGCATATATAAAATTAGGCTCACTGTGAAAAACAAAATCTGTTTCACTTAACTTGCAAGCTTATTTTTCTTCTGTAGTAAAGACTGGTTGCATAGACTGCAAGTAAAAACCTATTTTAACTTGATCACCATGAAGGTCTTAGTTGAAGCCAATAGAAAACTAATTTAACAGGTCTGGACATGTTCAGTGGTAGAGTATTTGCCTAGCATACATGAGTTTCAATTCCAAGCACCTCATAAAAAAAAAAAAAAAAAAATTAAAGCTGATTTACGTAGGAAGGAATTCATTGGGAGGGTATTGGTTAGCTCACAGAATCTCTGGGAAGGATATACAAAACCAAACTCAGAACATAATGTGGGACATGGAGAGCTGAGCAGCAGCCAGAGTCACAACCAAAATCCATACCATAGTGTGGGTTTGATGGCAGCTTTCAGTTTCTGAGCAGTGAACATAGTTGTTCTAATTGGAGGTATGTGTGCATGGTGTGTTCTCTCCTTGCATCGCTGAGTCCATATTCAGTGTATTGCTTGATACTAGACTATGTGCCCGTGTTGTAGATGAAAGAAAGCCGGGAAAGAAGTCAATTAGGAAGCAAGTAGCTTTATTGAGAGGAAGGCACATAAGATACAGAAAACATGCTAAGTGACTGTGCACACCATTGACCATGGTATATGATTAGAAACTCAGCGTGGTGCAGCTTGAGAACTGGAGTGACTTCCTCACAGTGTGGAGAGGGGTGAAAGCGAGGGACAGGAAAATGCTTAAGTATACTGCCATTTGGCCCGTGGCGCTCTGATATCTTGAGTCTAAACCTATGAGGGTATTGATCTGGGATTGAGATGGGGAAAATATTAGTGAAAAAGAGGCATGACATGGACATAGGATGTACTTTGAATGGATCGATAAGGGTATGTGTTCTGATTTGGAGTACGGATGCTATGAAGTAGGAATATTACCCATACTCTACTTTCTGTAGAGGAGAAAGTTATGTGGAAAGAAAATGCTACTGAAAAGGCTGTTCCTTCTGTTTTGGGGTTTGGTTTTCTTCTCCTTTCTTTCTCTGGCCTTTGCAGTGAATTACATCCTTGTAAGAGGGAGTAGGGGTCAGCAGACCACCCGGCTTATATAAAAGCAACATGGTGTGGAATTTATTGGTACAGGCAGACAGAAAGCAAAAAACTTTTTGTAAGGAATTGTTCCCCTTTTATAGAGATGGAAGGAAGGCAGGGCATATTAAGTGGGAAGATTTCAATAAACATCTGCTCAGGGTTCTCTGTGTTACACGTCTGTAAGTAGAGTCCTTGAAAATCCATTGCAAATTTATGGGTGGCTCCAGATGTCCCCAAGAACTGCACAATTCTTTGTGCTGTCTTACTCTTTATGACATCCTGTGTTTGCTGATGAGGGCTTCAGTGCTGACCTATGTTCCCTGCTGAGAATAGTGCTTCTGCTGCCAAGTTGGTTGGGGGCTAGGAGAGTTAGAGGCTTATAATCCTCAGCCCTTTTTTTATGTTTTTTACTTTTTTTTTTTTAAGTTTTACTAAAGTTTAATGGAACAATTATCTTTGTTAACCCCAGTACAAAAATACAGTTGGTGACTTGACAAAAATGGCTCCATGAAGGGCTTGAAAGTTAGTTTCTCCAAGTCAGGAGGGAAAGCATGCTTCCAGTGGGGGCTGAATCCAAGCACACAGCCTCCTGTACACGCGTGCGTGCAAACAGGGCAAGCTGAGCACAGAGGAAGGAGGTCGTAGGGACCCAGTAAAAACTTTAAGATTTTTTCCCAGGAAGAAAAAAAAAACAAAAAAAACTGGCTGGTCTCCTTGATGAGTGATACAGTTACCAATTGGTTGTTTAGGACTTGCTGTTTTCAAAAAAAAAAAAAAAAAAATTATAAGCTGCCCTGCAATGTTAATATTGTAAAAAAGATGCTACTCGTCTTCTTTCACCAGTAAGGTGAATAACGCTGGAGGAACTGCGAAAAGACTCAAATACTGAAATGTGAGGAGTAAATCTCCAAGTGGCTCAAGTTTTGTGTCATCAAGTTTCACTCTTCACTTTCAAAGACAAATGGACATTTAGGTGACAGGTAGCAGGAGAAGGAAGTCTGCCACACTGTTAGATCCATATGGATGCCAGAGAGCTTTTGTTCGCAGACTTCTTCCACAGTGAGAGAGCGCCTTCCAGCATAGGTAGAAGCAAGATTTTCTGGTTGATTTAATTGTTCTGGGTGATTCCCCAATATTCCTTCCCTTGCTGCCTTCCTTCTGGAACACTGACTTTGATGAAAGAAGGGGTACATTCATGTTACAACTCGTCTTCAAGATGTTTCTCTCTGAAGGCATCACCTGTCAGCCTTTCTTGAGCTTCTTTCATTCCCTGAACAACTTGCTCAGCACTGACATAGAAATTCTTGTAGCTGGGTTTTCCATTATCATTGATTTCAGAACGCACCTTGCCACTGGGATCCAAAAAAAGGATTTGTGGAATATAACCACCATCAGGACTAAAATCTTCATCTTTGGGTTCTTCTTCATCCTCAAGATTTACCATAACAAAATTATGGGAAAGTTCTGAAATTTCTTTAGATTCTGCAAATTTGGGCTTTAAAGCTTTGCAAGCACCACACCAAGACTGATGAATAATCATCATCAGAGGCAATCCACTTCTTCCACAAGCTAGTTAGTCCTCTCATATGAGCTCCCATGTTTTTTACTTTGAGACAGTATCTACGTTGCTTCAGCTAGCCTTGAAATTCTCCTTGGAATTCTCTGCCTCAGTCTCCCAGAGTGATAGGATTCCAGGTGTGCACTACCATGACTGGTTTTGCTCTACTAGCCTTTGGAATACTTAACAAGTAGTTGATGACATTCACAGTATTGTATATGACTGTTCATCTTGATGTTCACACTTAACCATTGGATTAGAGTGGATCCTGTATGTATTTAGTGTATTTTGTATTTATGGTGCTGCTTATTCAGCCTGGAGCACGTGGTCTGTCACAGGGTACACTGCTAATCCCTGGGTTTAGAAATTTAAATCATATTTAGCAACTAGAGTGGTGCCCACACCTGTAATCCTAGCACTCTGAAGGCTGAAGCAGGGAAGCCTAGGCTACACAGAAACCCTCAAGGGGCAGGGTTGGGGTAAAAAGAAACAAAGAACTCTAGTCACATATTCTTATGATGAATTGTTGGCTGATTAAAAATGGTTTTTCAGTCTGGGGATGTAACTTAATGGTTAGAGTGCTTGTTGAGCATTCTTGAATCTTTGGGTTTGATCCCTAGCAACATACGCAGGTGGGCACATGTTTGTGCACACACACAAACATGGACAGAGGTTTACTACCCTTGGGTAAGATCATAAATTTGATTATGATTACTAAGAGTACCAGAAGCAAGCATGGCACACATCTGTATTTTATAGCCTGAAGTAGGAAGATCACAAGCTTGAGCTGGGCAATTTGGTAGCTAATAGAGATCTTGTATCAGTGTAAATGGTTTTTAAAAAAGAAAGGTAGGCTGGCCTATAGCTCAGTGAAAAGCCCTGGGTTCAGTCCTCATTACAAGCCCCCCCCCCCAAAAAAAAAGGGTCTACATACAGCATAGACTTAGGTGTTTGTTTTTTTAAAGTGCTAGTAGTTGAACTAGGGCCTTTCACAAGTGCTCTACCACTGAGCTACAGTCCAAGACTTACAGTGTTCTTTTTAAAAACACATCAAGATGTTTATTAGGCAGGAACTTAAGAGCAAACATTCAGTGAAATATAGTGCAGGATCTCGAGAGAGGCTCTTGCTACATTCTGCAGCTGGGAATATTAATATGTATTTGGTGGGAGAAATCTGTGAAATTTGAATATAATATGGGAAGTTTCATTTAGGGTCTTAGGAAAAGGGTGCCCTACCCACAGACAGTAATGGCCCAATCATAGGAAAGGTCTGTTTTATAGGTAAAAATCCATTTTCAGTAAAAAAAAAAAAGGAATGGCTAAACACATTTGCACATGAAAATGGATTGTCTAGGGCTTGTTTTCTGGGCAGAAAAGAAATATATTTTGGACTAGGCTTGTGTCCTAAAGTAATTGTGATTTTGCTTGTTGCCCTTGTACCTACATTTCTTCTGCCCTACATCATTCCCCACAGGACATGGATCCTCTATTCTTAAGTGGATGTTGAAGGGCCAGAAGTCTGCCACCTTTTAACTGCCGCAGGCAGAGGGGGGAGCTGTGCCTGCCTTGCCAGGAATCAAAAATCTCACCCTGTCTGATGTAAAGGTGACAAAGGAAGATGGGTCAGATTGTTTGATGGATCATCTTCCTTTGATAGTCTTAGAACAGAGTATAAGAGCATTAGCATGTTCTTGGTGCTTTAAGCTTCCTGATATGTCTACATTAAACAAGCAGGAGTTACATATTAAAAGTAGATTATTGCTGAATAGTCACTCAAAAAATAAGCAGTAGAAGTCTGTAGTGTAGAATCTTATCTGTAATATGAACCCTATTTGTTTTGAGGTTTTATCCAAGACTTAGTCTTTAAAATAGAAGTTGAGAACCACATACTGAATTCAGATTACGTTTGCTATGGTAATTAAGTGAATGCTGATATGAATAATTGAATAAAGAAAATGGGCCACCACTTATACAAATAATGCATCATGTTAAAGTATGTGTTAACATACTGATTTTTACATTTTCATACATTGATGTGTGTCTGATGTTTTTTATATGAAATTTTATCTTTAATATCCTTTCTGTTTAAAGGTACTAGTACTTGGAAATAAGAGAGATCTTCCAAATGCCTTGGATGAGAAACAGCTAATTGAAAAAATGTATGTTTAAGAATGAGTAATATTATTTTAAAACTTTGATTCTCAATTTTATTGTTTTCTTATTGTTTAATATTATATTCTTCAGTAATGATCATAACCACGTTTTTAGTAGACAAATTTGGCCTACCAGAGAAATGAATCCCTCAAAGTTTAGTAATTGTAAAACATGTTGTTCAGCCTAGTAATGAAATAACACATAAAAGCGCATCAATTTTCTTTTTTCTATTTTTTTGCGGAACCGAGGATTGAACTTAGGCCCTTGTGCTTCCCAGGCAAGCGCTTATTCTATTGAGCCATCTCCCTGGCCCCTCGATTTTTCAATACCAAAAAAACCCCACGTATAGTTGACCAAGAAATTATAAATATGATAACTATTCTAAGCACAGACTTACTCTCTTAATTCTGCTTCTCATAGGAATCTGTCTGCTATTCAGGATAGAGAAATTTGCTGCTATTCAATTTCTTGCAAAGAAAAAGATAATATAGGTAAGAAATGACTTATGTTTTAAAGAAGTGGGTATCACTGGAAAAATATAGTAATGCTTCTTACTGTTTATTATTCCTATTTCTGTTAAAGAGACTTCGCTCATCATGCAGTGTTGCTATTGCTTCCGGAAACAAATTTATGTATTATACCTATTGACAACAAATATGGCATCTTAAATCTTTTCTGTATTATTTAAAGACATAAATGCAATAAAGCCTTGAAGTTAAACATGTAATACCAATTCATTGTATTTTTACAGAGCTAGCATTTAGCTATGTTTTATAACGAAGTGGCATTTTTGAAATTAGATTTTATAAAACTTGGTCTGTAGGTATTATAACAATTTCTCATTTATTGAGCTCCTATCTTATAAATATATGTAAGCACTCTGTTAGAAGTGGGAACCAAAAAGCACCTTTATCTGCTTGATATCTCTATTAATTTCTTAAAACTCCAAAAGAAAGTACTATAAACTAGATGGTTTAGATTAACCACAGAAACTGATAGCTGGGCATGGCTATGTGTGTGCCTACTATCCCAGCACTCTGGAGGCTGAGACAGGAGTATCACAGTGAGTGAGGCCAACCTGGGCTACACAGTGAGTTCAGTGTCAGCCTGAACTGCAGAGTGAGACTGTCTCAGAAAACCAAAATGAAAAGCCTGGAAGCTAGTCTGGAGGTGTATAGCTCAGTAGTGCTTGCGTTGTGTGCAGGAGGCCTTAGGTTTAATCCCTAGTACTGCACAAGCAAGAAAAAGAATCCAGAAACTTTGTCATGAGCAGGAGCCTAACAACACAAACTTACGGTGTCAGCACTGTCATACACCATCTGTGGGAAGGCTGAGGAGAGGATTCATTCTTGCCTGTTTCTAGCTTGTGCTCCATGCCAGCAGTTCTTGCCATTGCTTGACTTGTTGTGAGCCTCTCTAGTCTGTCTCTAGACAAGAGAGCTTCCTTCTCTTCTTGGTCTCTATGTGCTTTTTCCTGGCTAATCTCACACTTCACATGATTCTCTTCCTTTTGAAAGTACTGTTTTATCTTAAAAGGACGCAAGTCCCTGGAAAATTGGGCCATGCTAACTCAGCATGATATCCTTATAACTACTTCTGAAGGGGACCCTACTTGCATATAAAGTCATATTCTGAGATTGTGGGCTGGTATAACTTTAGAATACTGTTCACTATAGTACATTGAATTTAAAGCATGCTTACATACATACATACATGCATAAATACCTACTTAGAGCTCATTCTTTAGTCTCTTTAACTTGGTGAGGGATCATTTAATGAAAATATAAGGGGGCTGGTGAGATGGCTCAGTGGTTTAAAGCACCTACTTAGAACAAGCTTAGTGGGGCTGGTGAGATGGCTCAGTGGTTTAAAGCACCTACTTAGAATAAGCTTAGCAAAGCACAGGGACTGCGGTTCAATCCCCCAGCACCACATGCCAGCCAGCCCCGCCCCCTGGTGGGCTGAGCTGGACACACACACAAATAAATAATTAAAAAAGAAAATATATTAATGTAATAAGTAGTATATTTCAGAAGATACTCATATTTTCTTTTCTGTAGCCCTAATTCAGTGCACATTTGTTCTCAGCATACTTAACTTTTTTCAAGTTAAATCCAGTCTATTCTCAGACACCTCTGTCCCCACTTCCAGGTATGTTCTAATACTCTGAAAATGTGTATGGTCATGAGTGATTCTGGGCTTCCTCGAAAGATCACCACACAAAAGCAGTGTTAGCCCAGGCAACTATACCATTTGCCATACATTTTCGTCAGTTGAATAGCTAGAATAGGTGACTTGTTATAATATGAACACTGGTATAATTTGAGAACTTTACAAATCAGTTATGGTTACTAAGACTTCATTTGAAGTCTTTTTGTATTATATGTACATGGGAGAAATGCTTGTTAAATTTTAAGATATGCTGCCATGAGAGCAGAGCATTCACTTTATACCAGTGTTTCTCAGCTAGAAATTTTCCTCCCAGGAGACATGTTGACAAAGTTCAGAGGTAGTCTTTTGGTAGTCATAACCAGAAGGGTGAGACTGCCATCTGGTGAGCAGAGACCAGAGATTATACTCAATATTCTGTAGTTATCACAGCAGAAGATTAGTCAAAGAAAATCTTGTTCTGCACTAATTGTAGTCTTAGTGCATTGTGCTATTCTGAAAGTTTATTGCTTCTATTTTCTCTAGTATTTTAGAAAATAGAAAACAAGGGCCAGTGATATAGCTCAGCAGCATAAGTGCCTGTCTGGAAAGTGCAAGGTCCTTTGATTTGTGGTTCTAAAAATAAGAGAAAAAGAGAAACGAAAACAAAAAGCTTTTTTTTCTTAGCGGAACCGGGGAATGAACTCAGGCCCTTGCACTTGTCAGGCAAGCGCTTATTCTACTGAACCATCTCCCTGGCCCCACAAAAAGCTATTAAGGCAAGGAAAAAAATTATTTTACCAGTCTCTCAAACTAGCCAGGTATTTGCCTGGAGTAAATGTCTACTGAGCTCATTTATGCAGGAGATGCACCAGAGATAGTGAGAACTTTAGTTGCTAATTGAGGCTAATACTCATAGCTTGCTGTATGGCTCAGTAGTTACCAGGCTTATAATTTTAGAACGCTTGGTTTACTTAAAATGTCAAGTCTGTGGAAATTGATCTGCTCTTATGAGTCAAAGAAGGTAGTTTGTATATCTGAATGTCTTTTGAGTTATCAAGTTAAGATACCCTTTTTATTTGTTATTTATATTTATTCTTATTATTTCTCTGTGTGTTATTTTTTAATAGCATGTTTTGATTCCAGATTTTTCAAATTATTGAGTTGCTCCCAAAAATTATTTCATTGGACATAGTTGTATACTACACTTTCAACTTCCTTATGCAGCACAGGAAATACCTTTATTTCATTAGGAATGTATTCTCAAATCACATGAAAAGCATTACTTTTGGGAAGATGATCTCTGCAAAGAATTATTTGTATCTTTGACTTTCCGTGACACCTTTTATGTTATATGACTTCTACCTATCTAGGCTTAAGTATTTATTTGTCTTTAGGAGAAAGTTTTTTCTTTGATTTTTAGTGAATCCCTTTGCTTCAGAATTCCTTTTCTCCTTTACTGTGTGTATTGCAATAAGAAATATAGAGGGCCCACTTCAGCAGTTAAGTTAAATCCTTGTTTTTACAACTGTGAATAAGTCCTGTTCATTCAGATCCCAACTCTGTTCTTGGTGTGTCTTATAGTTTCTCTACTCCGAGATACCTAGGAAACTAAAAGATTTAATTTGCATTTACCTTTCAGGCTTGGAGGGTAGAATATTCCTTCTATTAGATTCTCAAATATTCTTTAGGTGGATAAGATGTTTTAAAGAACCCAAGACAGTAACTTGGTTGTCTGAGTCAGCTTCCTTCTCTTCTTGGTCTCTATGTGCTTTTCCTGGCTAATCTCAGCTACTCTAGCTTTAGCTGTCACCTATATTATACTGTTGCAGTCTGCATCTCTTCCTTAGATCTAAAACACTTGCCTAAACACTTGTTTAGGTCTAAAACACTTGTCAGAAGTCTCCATATGTGTTGATTTGCCTACGTTTCGAATTCTTAGTCCTTTCTTTCTTTTTTTTTTTTTTTATTTTTTTAAAAAATATTTATTTATTTATTTATTTATTTATTTATTTATTTTGTGTGTGTGTGTGTGGCCAGCTCAGCCCACCAAGGGGCAGGCTGACTGGCATGTGGTGCTGGGGGACCGCAGTCCCTGTGCTTTGCTTAGCTTAGCTTGTTCTAAGTAGGTGCTTTAGACCACTGAGCCATCTCACCAGCCCCTTAGTCCTTTCTATAGTGATTTTCCTTTAGCCACTGTTTGATTCACACACCTACTATGGCCAGAAGGCTCTTTCTCATCTATGACATTGTTCTGGCTACATTTCTCCTAGTGCTTTTCCGCTCAGGACACTTTTTGCATTTTCACTTGTCACATTGGGGGTGGGTGTGATAGTGGGATATAATGGTCAAGATGCTACAAAATGTTCTACAGAACACAGGATTTAAAGAAAATTTTCTTCCTAAAATGTCACAGGGGCAAAGTTGTGAACTCTAGCGATTGCCTTTACAAGGTGGTCAACCATTTCTACTACTGCCATGGTTTAGCCATGTTTTCTGTATCTCCTAAGAGTCCATAACAGCTGGGCACAGTTGCACATACCTGTAATCTGAGCATTTGGGAGGCTGAGGCTGATATAGTGCTACAAGTTTGAGCCCAGCTGGGGCACTATGGAGAAGTTAAGCCTAGCTCGAACTACGTAGTGAAACCCTGACTCAAAAAACAAAACAACAAAAAAAGCTTTTGAACAGTTCCACTTTGGTTCATGCTCTTTTCGATTCTTCTTGCTTTTGTAGTTTCTTTTGCTTGGCATTCTACAGGGCAGCCTCTTAAATTCAAATGGTTATTTATGTCATTTGTACTATATGTAAGCATTTTGAGGGCAGGGAATTCTATATCTGAATCCCTGGTAACTTGCATGTAGTTCTAGGTATTATAGG